AAAGAAAGAAAGAAAGAAAGAAAGAAAGAAAGAAAGAAAGAAAGAAAGATAGATCACGAAGAAAACCATTTTTCTAACTCTGCTTTTTATAGTAGCAGATTGTCAATCACCTGGCAGGACAGTTGCAATGATGTCAAATGCTCGTCTAAAGAGGGATCTGAAAGTACAAAGATACCTTAGAACTGTCTGTATCCCCAGACAGCTGTCAATGAATTTTAGCTAAAAATCAAAGATGAACCTAATCCACCTACCCCACCATAAACAGTGAAGGAAATACTGATGAGTTTGGGTAACAAAAACAAAGAAGGAAAAAGTATTTATGTTGCTTTGGTGACCAGCATTTGGAAGCCTCTTGACCTGTTCCACTTTCTGGAAACTGCATCTGACTTTGCTTCCTCAGTGAGACTTGTCTTCTCAAGTAGCAGCTAGAGACTGAGACCACAGAGACAGGAAAGGACTTAGGAAAAGATGAATAGTATCTGCAGACCACCTGCTCCTTAGTGAGCTTTCGCAGGACCAAAACTAAAGAATACACTGCTGTGGAAAGCCAAAGGGGGAGTTTCTGGGCTCCCATTTGAGACAGGGTCTCCTTCGGTAGCTCAGGTTGGTCCTCCGAATACAGCTGGGACTGTATTCTGTTCTTAGATACAGCAAGATCTAGAATGCCCTTCTTATTGGCTATTACTATCAGTAATCTGTCCTTATCGTGTTTTATTCATTTTAATTTCAGTTATTCAAGGTCAACTGTAGTCTAAAAATAGTAAATAAAACATTCTAGAAATAAGCAAATTTAAAGTAGTTTCCTACAGTATTACCACTGTCTCAGTCATTGCTGTTGCCCTTCATTTTGCTTTGGATGTATGTAACTTTACTGGAGACATGCATGTCCATGCAGACAGTACATGGGATACATTAGCTTCGGTACTGTCTGGGGTTTCAGGCACTGGGGGTGGGGGTGGATTACTAGAGATGTGGTTCTAGCGATAGACAGAAAAGACTCAACCTGAAATGCAGCTGTGGAAACCAGCTGAACTATGGCTGGACCTTGTGTTTCTGCAGGGCCATTTGGGCGGAGTGCTATTTTCATTCAAATGTCAGCTGATTCGAGAACAAAACTGTTCTGTCTAGAAACTGCTTTTCAATTACAGTTCTACCATCCTGTTGCTGTCACCATGGTAGGATGTCTTAGGTACTCAAGTGCTAATCCACTCCCATGCCCAACCCAGATAGGGTTTCTCTGTGTAGCCCTGGGTGTCCTGGAACTCTCTCTGTAAACCAGGTTGGCCTCAAACTCAGAGATTCTCCAGCCTCTGCCTCCTAAGTGCTGGGAGTAAAGGCGTGCAGCCGCATACCGGGCTCCAGGTGCTAATTTCAATGAACTATATTCTTCCCTTGGAAGTCACTCAAACACAAGAATCAACTACCACCACAAAGAACTGGAAACATGACTTTTTAGGTAACAGCAGTAAGTGACTGCGTCTGA